GCGTTTTATTACAGCCAAATACAAAATGATATACCTAGAAGAAGAAATTTAGGCCTTAACTACAGAATAGGGAACTGTATCCTGGAAAGCAGTATCTCTGAAAAGGATTTTAGGGGCCATAGTGGGCAAGCAACTCAGCATTAGCTCCCAGTACAATGCTATGGCAAAGAGAGCTAATGTGATTGTGGAAATCTGTCTAAGTACAGTTTATGAATTCTGCTTAATTTTGTGAAATTACTGCATGTGATTGAATGCCTCAATGTGTAATGAGTCAGCCAGGGGCTGGCAAGGTCCCTGTCACATCAATCCCTTCCCTCCCCTTTTGGAATAAGCTACAGAACAAACAAAAATATAAAACAAAAGATAATGGAGCAAATAATTAAGCAATCAATTTGCAAACATCTAGACAGTAATAATGTGACAGTAAGTAACAGTAAGTAACAGTAAGCATGGATTTGTCAAGAACAAATTGTGTCAAACCAACCTGATAGCTTTCTTTGACAGGGTAACAAGCCTGGTGGATTGGGAGAAGATGTGGTATATCTTGACTTTAGGAAAATTTTTGATACTGTCTCACATGACCTTCTCATAACCAAACTAGGGAAATGCCACCTAGATGGAGCTACCATAAGGTGGGTGCACAACTGGTTGGAAAACTGTTCCCAGAGAGTAATTATCAGTGGTTCACAGTCATGCTGAAAGGGTATAACGAGTCGGATCCTGCAGGGATCAGTTCTGGGTCCGGTTCAGTTCAGTATCTTCATCAATGATTTAGTAATGGTATAGAAAGTACACTTATAAAGTTTGCAGACGATACCAAGCTGGGAGGGGTTGCAAGTGCTTTGGAGGATAGGATTAAAATTCAAAATGATCTGGACTAACTGGAGAAATAGTCTGCAGTAAATAGGATGAAATTCAATAAGGACAAATACAAAGTACTCCATTTAGGATGGAACAATCAGTTGCACACATACAGAATGGGAAATGACTGCCTAGGAAGGAGTACTGCTGAAAGGGATCTGGGGGTCATAGTGGACCATAAGCTAAATATGAGTCAACAGTGTGACACTGATGCAAAAAAAAGTGAACATCATTCTGGGATGTATTAGCAGGAGTGTTGTAAGTAAGATATGAAAAGCAATTCTTCCGCTCCGCTCTACTCTGCGCTAATTAGGCCTCAACTGGAGTATTGTGTCCAGTTCTGGGTGCCACATTTCAGGAAAGATGTGGACAAATTGGAGAAAGTCCAGAGAAGAGCAACAAAAATGATTAAAGGTCTAGAAAACATGACCGATGAGGGAAGATTGAAAAAATTCAGTTTGTTTAGTGTGGAAAAGAGAAGACTGAGAGGGGCATGATAACAGTTTTCAAGTACATAAAAGGTTGTTACAAGGAGGATGGAGAAAAATTGTTGTTCTTAACCTCTCAGGATAGGACAAGAAGCTATGGGCTTAAATTGCAGGAACGGAGGTTTAGGTTGGACATTAGGAAAAACTTCCTATCTGTGAGGGTGGTTGAGCACTGGAATAAATTGCCTAGGGAGGTTGTGGAATCTCCATCATTGGAGATTTTTAAGAACAGGTTAGACAAACACCTGTCAGGAATGGTTTAGATAATATAGCCTTCCATGAGTGCAGGGGACTGGACTAGATGACTTCGTGAGGTCCTTTCCAGTCCTATGATTCTATGAAAAAGAAGTTGTTAACCTTGATGACTGTGCTCTGACAAGGCTATGGGTATGCTATGGAGGATGCCTGAGCTGGAAGAAAACTAGTTTAACCAAGTTTATCTGCAGGGGGGGGAAAGTGGAGAGTGGAAAATCCTCAAACAGGAGAACAAATGTGCAGAGTTGTCAGAACAGGGGTTTAAAAAGCGAAGGAGCAGGCTTTAGGAAAGAGAGGGGATTTTTTTTTATTTTTTTTTTTACTGCAGGACCAGCCAAGGTCAAAGGAAGCTGGATGGAGGAGAGAGGTCCAAGAGATGGGACTTGGAATCCTGAAAGGACACTGTCCCAAATGCTGAAGAATACTCCAGAGTAATGAGAAAATTGAGGCAAGAATGATATACAGATATTTTATTGTATTGTCTAGAGCTGTGTAATTTTTGTGCTGTCTAAAGTAAAGAATGATTGGTTTAGGAACCTTTAGCTAAGTCTTTGTGTTGTGTGCTTCACCTATCATGTGTCCCTGGAGACTGTAAACCAGAGTGCCCACAAGCTAGGAGCCCTTGGAAAGGGTGTGCTTAAGATAATGGGAAGATGAAGGGAGCCAGTACTAATTTCAGGACCTAGGCAGCTGGATCATGGGATCTCAAAAAAGGTGTTATACAGAGGATCTGCATCCTGAGAGTGTGCCTAAAAACCCAGAGCCACAGGAAGCTTAAAGCACATGGCACCACCATGTTGAGACCCAAACGCAGCAGACTGGTGAGTGTCCAGAAGGGGGAATGACTAGGATTGTGACAGCAGAGAATTAACAGAGAATTAGTGAGTATGAGTCGGAAGGTGATTTCACCTCTGTATAGGGCATTGGTCAGACCAATACTGGAATACTGGGTGTAGTTCTGGAGTTCACAGTTTTAAAATGTGTGGAAAAATTGAAGAGGGTGCAGAAATGAGCCACAGAAATTATTCAAAGGATGGAGAAAATGCCTTTCAGTGAGATACTTAAAGAGCTCAATTGGTTTAGTTTATTAAAATAAAATAAAATAAAATAAAATAAAATAAAATAAAAAATAAAAAAGACCAGTGGTGACTTGATTACAATGTATAAGCACATTCATGGGGAGAAAGCACCAAATAGTAAATGGCTCTTTAAGCTAGCAGAAGAAGGCATAACAAGAACCAATGGATGGAAACTGAAGCCAGACAAATTAAAATTAAAAATTAGGAACATATTAACAGTGAGGGTGATTAATCATTGGAACAGACTGTCAAGGAATGGTGAATTGTCCATCTACTGATGTCTTCAAATTCAGTTTGGATGCCTTACATAAGAATGGCCACATTGGGTCAGACCAAAGGTCCATCTTTCCTGTCTTCTGACAGTGGCCAATGCCAGGTGCCACAGAGGGAATGAACAGAGCAGGTAATCATCAAGTGATCCATCCCCTGTTGCCCATACCCAGCTTCTGGCAAACAGAGGCTAGGGACACCATCCCTGCCACTGATAGACCTATCCATGAATTTATCTAGTTCTTTTTTGAACCCTGGTATAGTCTTGGCCTTCACAACATCCTCTAGCAAGGAGTTCCACAGGTTGACTGTGCGTTGTGTGAAAAAAATACTTCCTTTTGTTTGTTTTAAACCTGCTGCCTATTAATTTCATTTGGTGACCCCTAGTTCTTATGTTATGAGAAGGAGTAAATAACACTTCCTTATTTACTTTCTCTACACCAGTCATGATTTTATATACCTCTGTCATATTCCCCCTTAGTAGTCTCTTTTCTAAGCTGAAAACTCCCAGTTTTATTAATCTCTCCTTATACGGAAGCCATTCCACACCCCTATTCATTTTTGTTGCTCTTTTCTGAACTTCTCCAATTCCAATATATCTTTTTTGAGATGGGGTGACCACATCTGCATGTAGTATTCAAGATGTGAGCGAACCATGGATTTATATAGCAGCAATATAATATTTTCTGTCTTATTATCTATCCCTTTCTTAACAATTCTCAATGTTCTGTTCGTTTTTTTGACTGCTGCTGCACATTGAGTGGATGTTTTCAGAGAACTATCCACCCTGACTCCAAGATCTCTCTCTTGCGTGGTAACAGCTAATATAGACTTCGTCATTTTATATGTATAGTTGGGATTATATTTTCCACTGTGCATTACTTTTCATTTATCGACATTGAATTCTTTCTTCTAGAATAACCTATAAGTTATTGAGCTAGGTACAAAGTTACAGAGGTAACTGGGTTAGACTACATGATCTAATGATCCTTTCTGTCCTTAAACTCTATAAATCTAAGGAAAAAATTCCTAGTGTACTTCATGGAATCTGGCTCTTCTCCTTTTTTGGGGATATAAAAGCTCTACTTAAGTTGCTCTGAGCTTTCCAGGTGTGTTTATCTAATTATCCACTCTGATAATTAGCAGATGTGCTATTACCATGTGGAAAAGAACTGTCCGTGCCTGTTGCAGCAGATTGGGAGAACTGTGAAGAACAGCTTTAATCCTCACCTTGGTTTTCCGGTCATCTGGTGTGGTTTCATCAAACTCCTCACCAAGCTTAAAAGAGATCTCATTATTTTTAAAGGCACTTTTGGTTTGGATGGTTACCACATCGCCGTCAGCACTGATGGTCATGCTGGGTTTGGCCAGCGTGCCCAGTTTCCTGGTGGCTAAGCCGACTCCTGTAAGCAAGAGAATTCAGATCTCTTAAACTACCAGGAAAAAAAAACATTATGGATTTCAGTGTCTCAGGAAGGAGAACAGTGGCACTGATGGGAATGGCAAACATCCTCAGATGCTTACATAGGTCTTTATATTTCAAGTCATTAGCAATTTCCTAGTGAGGACTGGGCTCAATTTATTGCTCACTGAAATCAATGGGCTTTAAATCAGGGCAAAAAAAACTTCCATGATCACAATGAAGAACTTTAATGCATATGTGATGGCTCAGGAGCAATTGGCACCTATGATCTCTCCCCATCTCCCCAGTGAGCACTCTTTCCAGTTCCACGCCTTTACCTGTACTTCTCTGCATTCTTTCTAGAGTGGAACTCTGAGGTTCACCCCCACCCGCACTTTAGACTGAATCTGCAGGCTACACCCCCTATTCCTATCTTCTTCCCACAGTTACAGGACAAGTGGTGTCTTATACCTCCTTGCAATCCTTCATGAATGAACCCCTCAAGGGACAGGTTATGCTACCTACACTTTCTCTGGGTGAAACCCCATGGTCACACTTTCACTGGATCCTAGGGCAGCAGCGCTCCTGGTTCCCAACTATGTTAACACAACAGGCTCAAGTGGAATTGGTACGCTCCTTCTCAGGTGCCTGACTAAAGAGACTCAAATCAGCTACTTCTAAACAGACGTATTGCCCATTCACCCAAAGGTACACAGCAAGCAGAGGTAAAGGTTAACCCCACAAAAGGCCCACATGCCTGAGGCTTGCCTGCAGCCCATTGCTTCTCTCAATGCTTAGGTGAGCTCAGCTATCTCAGGCACTTCCTGCTGAGCCCCTGCCTCTGCAAGTCCCCAGTCTGCTGCATGTTCTGCCTAACCAGATATGGGGACTTCACTACATGATGCTTGGTGTAATGCCATCAACTATGGTCACTAGCAGAACGGTCCTCAGTAGACTATGCGTGATTGATGATGTTGTTCCTTTAATCTTAGTCTCTGGTCTTGGAAAAATAGGATGTCACTCTTCTGGCAGGAGTGATGGAAGTGCCCTAAAAGTGGGGAGGCCACCAGCGGCCGAACTGTGGCCCTGCTCCCCCATACCTCCCAAACCCCCAGCCTCACACTCTTCCTTCCCACCGGGGGGCCCGCCCTCATACTGCCCCTTCTCCCTGAGGCCCTGTCCTCATGCTTTCCCTTCCCCCTGAAGCCTAGCTCCCTGCTCATTCCTATCTGCCCCCTCCCCTCCATCACTCACCCTTACGGCTGATAAAAAGTGAGGGGCCGTGGCCCTCTAGCCCCTCCTGTTCTGGCATCCCTGCCTTCTGGCAACTGGCAGGCAAGAGTTTTCCAACAACTAGCTCAACCGTTGTTTCTCTTAAGGACCCCTGGTATTCTCCCTGGAGAGACCTTATCTCTGTCCTTGTTTTGTTTCCTGCTTGCATCCACCATCAGCCTTCTTTGATTTTATTCCCCTGGCTTAGAGGGGAAGTGAAATCACCTAAAAAAAAACACTGGGAAAGTTCCAGAAGATTGAAAGAAAGCTAATGCTGTGCCAGTATTTAAAAAGGCTGAACAGGATGATCTGAGTAAACTGCCAGTCTGACATTGATCCTGGGTAAGATAATGGAGGGGCTGATACAGGACTCAGTTAATGAAGCCTTGAAGGAGGGTAATATAATTAATGTCAATCAACATGGGTTATAGAAAACAGAACCCATCAGACTGACTTAATATCTTTTTTATGAGATTACAAGTTTGGTTGATAAAGGTAATAGTATTGACATAATATATTTAGACTTATGTAAAGCATTTGACTTGGTTTTGCACAACCTGTTGATTAAAAAGCCAGAATGATATAAAATTAACATGACACACATTAAATGGATTAAAAGCTGGCTAACTGTAATTGTAAACAGGGAATCATCAGGTATGTTTCTAGTGGGGTCCTATAGAAACTGGTTCTTGGCCTTTCACTATTTAACATTTTTATCAACAGGCCCGCCGACAGCAATTCTGGGCCCCATGGGTGCGGGGCCCGGGGCGAAAGTGACTTCCGGGACCGACCTGTCACTTCCAGGACTGACCGCGCTGGCCAATTGTGCCGGCCCGCAGGGCCCCAAAGGAGGAGTCATGCATGCCTAGGAGCCCTGAGGCCCGCCCAGGCGATTTAAAATCACCCAGGCCCCTGGGCAGTTGCCCCCCTCCCCTGCCCCGGTCGGCGGGCCTGTTTATTAATGACCTCAGAAAAAACATAGAATTTTCACTGATAAAGCTTGCAAATGACACAGAAATTAGGGGAGTGGTAAGGAATGAAGAGGACATGTCACTGATACAGAGCGATTTGGATCTCTTGGTAAATATGTGTTTTAATATGGCTGAATGTAAAGTTATACATCTAGGAGCAAAGAATGTAGGCCATACTTACATGATAGAGAACTCAAGCCTGGGAAGCAGTGACTCTGAAAAAGATTTGTGAGTCATGGTAGATAATCAGCTGATCAGAAGCTCCCAGTGTGATGATGTGGCCAAAAGGGCTAATGCAATCTTTGGATGCATAAACCAGGACACCTCAAGTAGGAACAGAGAAATTATTTTACTTCTGAATTTGGCACTGGTGCAACTGCTGCTGGGATACTGTTTCTAGTTCTGGTGTCCACAGTTCAAGAAGGATGTTGATCAATTGGAGTGGGTTCAGAAAAGAGCCATGAGAATGATTAAAGGAGGGGTGGGGAACCTTTTTTCTACCAGGGGCCACTGGCCCACAGAAAAAATTAGTCACGGGACACACACAGTCCCGTGGGGGGAGAAGGGGGGAGGAGGCTCGGGGCTTCCCCTAGGTTCTGGGGTGGGGCCAGAAATCAGGGTTTTGGGGTGCAGGAGGCTCAAGGCTGGGGCAGGGGTTTGGGTGCGGTAGGGGGTTCTGACCTGGGCATGGGGCATTAGGGGTGTGGGCTCCGGCTGAGCGGTGCTTATCTCAGGCGGCTGCTGGTCGGCAGTGCAGCGGGGCTAAGGCAGGCTCCCTGCCTGCCCTGGCTCCATGCTGGTCCTGGAAGCAGCCGCCATGTCCGGCTCCTAGGTGGAAGGGCCAGGGGTCTCTGTGCGGTGCGCGCTGCCCGCGCCAGCAGCTCCCATTGGCCACAGTTCCTCACCAATGGGAGTTGCAGAGCTGGCGCTGGGGGAAGTGCACAGAGCTTCCCTGATCGCCTCTGCTCCTAGGAGCCACAGGGACATGCCGGTTATTTCCGGGAGCTGGAGCCAACTCTAACTTTCCCCCACAGCGGGGCAAGCCGGCGCTTGCGGCTCCAGCCCAATGGGGGGGGGGCGCCAAGGCTCGGGGCCTCTGGCCGGCAATGCAGAAACTTGCCATGGGCCAGATTAAATGAAGCAATGGGACGGCTCCAGCCCACAGGCCTCGATTAAAGGATTAGAAAGCCTGCCTTCTAATGATAGACTCAAGGAGCTCAAACTATTTAGCTTAACAAACAGAAGGTTAAGGGGTGACTTGATTACAGTCTACCAGTACCCACATGGGGAATAAATATTTGATAATGGGCTATTTGATTTAGCAGAGCAAAGTATAGCCTAGTCCAATGGCTGCAAATTGAAGCTAGCAAATTTAGACTGGAAATAAGGTGTACATTTTTAACAGTGAAAGTAATTAACCATTAGAGAAATTTACCAACGTGGATTCTCCATCGCTGAAAATTTTTAAATCCAGATTGGATGTTCTTTGAGCAGGGGGTTGGACTAGATGACCTCTTGAGGTCTCTTCCAACTCTGATATTCTATGATTCTATGATTCTTCTAAAAGATTTGCCTAAGGAATTATTTTCAGGATGTTCTTTCTATGTCCTGTGTTACATAGGAGCTCAGACTAGATGATCACAATGGTCCCTCCTGGCCTTAGAATCTATGGTTCTATGAATCTGTGATTTAACTCTGAGTAATCAGCCAGAATAATACCCAGCAGGTAAACGCAGGCACATATATTCATACAAAATAATACAGACATCTTCCTCATTCCCCACACACTACTTTTAATACCTTCCTCATAAAGTTTACTACAAGGTGCCCAGAAAGAGTTTTAAATAGACATGGGTACCTTGCACTTCAGAATGCACTTTATGAGGCAAGATTAAAAGTATGGCTTAGACAGTCTCCTTTGTGTGACCTGATCATGGTAAGGGCTCATTTATTCATTGCTTGCAGTCTTACCTATGTTGGATAAAGCTCTGCCAGTGACTGACCAATGAATGGAAAGCCAAACACAAACGAGGCTTTGTGTTTTGGGGGAATCATTATTAGTTAAGTCCTTTGTTCCCACAAAGGACAGAGACAAACCGATCCCTTCAGAGTTTATGCCTCAAAAAGCCTGTATTTGAGAAAGATTGCAGCACCAAAACAAGCTGAAACAATTTATTAGGGGAGATCTGGTGAGCTTTTGAGACATTCCTAGAAAAAACATAAAGGGTAATCAGGGGGGGAACGTATAGGTTTGTTCAAATCTGGGTTACATTGTGCCTAAATCACCACATTTTGGGGGAGGGCTTGGCTTATAATTGCAAGTCCTTTAATAAAGTTTTATGTAGAGCAAACAGACATGTCTCAGAATGGTGTCAGCAGCCTTGGAGGCAGACTGTAGAATCAAGCCAGCAATTGTCAATTGGTACTAGGGAATCAGTGATGTCACTGTCATCAGGGATGGCTCCAGGCACCAGCACAGGAAGCAGGTGCTTGGGGCGGCCAATAGAAAGGGGTGGCACGTCTGGGTGTTCAGATGGGAATTCGGCAGCGGGTCTCTCAGTCCCTCTTGGAGGGAAGGACCGGCCGCCGAATTGCCGCCGAAGAATGAAGCAGCACGGTAGAGCAGCTGCCGAAGTGCCGTCGATCGCGTCTTTTTTTTTTTCCCCTCTTCGCCACTTGGGGCAGCAAAAAAGCTGGAGCAGGCCCTGACTGTCATGATACTGTCATATTTGAGGTATGAGAAGTGTTTGGTAGTACTATTAAGGAGAACCCAATATTAGGTTATTGCAAAAATGATGCTCATTTTAATTGATTGGCTCTATTTGGCAACTGAACATGTACCATCACTTTTCCTCTTATTTGCAGTGGCTTCTTCCAACTCTTGGCTTAGTTGAAGGAGGTCTTGGTATTTTAACAGGATTTGGGGTTTTGATGGTACTATCATGTCCACATTTTACAAGTATAGCAATTTTCCAGGATAAAAGCAAAAATGTAGCCATTGAAACAAAATCAATGCAGAAACCCCACATCTTTTTATGTTATCTCAAGAAAGGATTCAGGGAGTGGGAATCATCTTTAACACAACCACCTCTGGCTAGAATATGCACAAATGAATTACTAATTAAATTACTTTATACATATCATAGGCTTTTTTCAAGTGTAACAGATTATCTGGGCAATTCCCAGGCAATGGAGGATCAGTACCTGCAGTGTCATTTCGAGTCCACTATAGTGGTGAAAGTCTTAATCAAAAAGGAGTGTCACCACTTCCCATAGCCTCCTCTACTGTCTCATAGTGGTCGCCCTTTTGTGCTTGCAAGTGACAAGAAAGCAACAGATCCCCAGATTATTTCTATTTAAAAACAGTGTATATTAAAGAGAGAAAGGGCACTTAAAATTAAAAGAAAATGCATTCAAACCCTGTAATATTTCTTACCTAATTCTTTCATGTATGCATCAAAGTTTTCACATGAGGTTGATTTCCAGGTTCCCAGGAGATGATCAACCATTTTGTCCGATTTAGTGGAGCGCTCTGTCTGAAGGGGAAAAAAAACAACTGCTTTAATGGCCTGATCCAAAGCCCAGTGAAGTCAATGTGAGTCTTTCCAATAGCTTCAGTGGGGTTTGGATTAACCACTAAGCATGTGGTGTGTAATGCACAGGGAGTAATATCTTGTTTTTAATATGCCTTGAATATGTGCTAATCAGGGCAGAACAGTGTCTTCAGAAATCCCCATTACTAACCCTTCACATTTATCCCAGCATTTCCATGCGAAGACAATCATCATCATATAATGAACTTTTCAAATCCAATAGGGAAAAGCAGCCTGGCTGAGCACTAATGAAACACAGCTGCAAAAACAAAAGGGAGCAAAGTTTCTGCAGCAGGAATGGATCTGCTTCCTGCTTCCTCACTTCGCCCCAAACGGCATAAAATCTCACAATGAAACACACATTTGTCTTGTCTTATTGGTTAATTGTGGATTGCTTTGGGGGGGTTGGATATATTGGGCTGGATTCTCAGCAGAGGTAAGTGCTCCTCTGGTCATAGGGGTGAACGTAATTTAGAGCAGACTCGGGACTCTTCTAATTTACACTGGCTGGATCAGTGACCTGGGTGGCCCAGGGAAATGAGGGGATTAAGAGAGAGACCTTGAGGAAAGGGCCTTGGAGAGGGGGAAAATGTAAGAGGGACTTAGCGATGGGACAGTGGAGGTGAAGCTGGTGTGCCACATATTTGTGAGTTTAGATGTGGTATATCAAGTCTTAAAGTTTGAGGTGTGATGCAGAGGAGAGGGACAGGAGTAGAAATGAGAGGTGGGAGAGAGGAGAAGTTATGTTTTTGAGATATTGACTTCATGCTGATGACATTCAGGAAGAAATGTCTGAAAGACAGTGGCAGATGAGAGTGAACAGAGGATGAAAGCTCTGAGGAGAGGAAGGAGAGTGGTAGAGATGGTAGCTGAGGCCCAGCTAATCAAAGCTATTTAGATATCTAACTCTCATTGATATTGATCCTGAATTCCTTTGAGGATCTGAAACTGAAGGCCCAAAAACAGATGAGGTAAATCATGGATACTGGAGCCTGATCTTTGAAACCCTCACATTGGGTCAACAGCAATTTTTAGCCCTGCAGCCTGGGCCCCCTGGGCTCAAGTCAGCCATGCCACGGGCCTTTTATTCCAGTAGAGGCCAGTCTGAGAGGCAGCTTTGCACGGTTCCTGGAGATGCTGCTGCTAAGGGTTGAAATATTTAAAATAAGCTTAAAATAAATAACACAGCAGGACCTACCTTTTGCTAATGTGTTTTGATTTAGGGTTCTGAGCCTGCTTCTCTTTCCCTGCAGGCATCCAAGGGGCAGGACACGGGGAACCTGCCTACAACTCCACTGACCAGTAGGTGAGAAAGTGCTGGCTCACACCCATATGCAGCTGGCAGTTGGCACTGACAACTGTCAAAGAGCCTTTAGTCATGGCAGTGGTACAATGGGATTGGCAAGCAGTTGGTGTTCTCCAACCAATCACTGCACTCTAAGTCACAATGCTTCTGAACTTCACCTTTTTGCCTGGCTGCTGAGAAGGCGAGTGAAGCAGGTTTGTGAGTGAGATTCATGAAAACAGACTGAAGGGAAAGTAAATTTGCCAGATACAATTACCTACGTTACCCTTTATTATTGTTTTCTTTAGCCTAAATTATTGCTCACTGTTAGGAAAAAGTGACTCCGTGATTCTTTACCATCATCACATGACACATACGACTCTTCAGTCCGTTTTCGCTCTCTCTAGGGCCGCTGACACAATATATAATATCAGAGTACCTGAAACTCTACCTCTCAACCTCCAATGTACTACACATCTAACCAACGCCAGTGTGGAAAGCGGAGACAGCCACAGTGCTAACAGTGCACCACTGGGCCAGACTGGCTGCATTCTAAAGTTTGACATAGACAACGATGTTTTCAAGGGGTCATTCCAGACTAGTGGTAGATTGCTAAAGACATCCAGAGGGTTATTTTTTTTTATTGCTATCAGGCTGTTTATTCATCCTTGCTCTCTGCTACCATTGAAACTCTATCATTCCCTATATGCTATGTTGAATCTGCAGGGTTGTTTATAATCACTGAGGCTGTTGTTACAGTACTATTTTCTTGGGAATTACCTTGACGTTTTACTCTAACACATAGAACACATCAGGCCAACCCTGGTGTAACACCTTGAGTTCGCTGGAGTTACAGCAAGGATAAATTTGGTCTGTCGGCTCTGAGGTCTAGGAGTTTGTGTTAATTTTGTAACTGGGGAGCTGTGGGTGGGTGGTCCTGTTCAGCAATTACTCTGCGATGTCAGTACACCAACATACTTCTCATGCCTGTGTGTCTGGCTTTTGTAGGATCTCTGGAGTGTAATAAGAACTGTTATAACAAGTTGAACAGTTTAACACTTCATACTGCAGGACTGTCACCCCATGACTCTTTGTGAGGTGACATGGGAATCAAGGGTGCGTTGAAGCTTAAACCATATGCTCTATATCTCTCTGGCGATATTATTAGCCAGTTATGCAGGCTAAAAATGTATAATTTATTGTGGCACAGTCTGCAGTGCCTTTACATTTCTCTAATCTTCTTTTCACTAAATCCTTTTCCTAAACAATTACTTAGGAAAGAAAATGGTACTGGGTAGAGCAGGATTAAAATAATGAGTGTATGAACCAACTGGGACTGAAGAAAATGAAGATATCTCACAGATATAAGAGTCACTAAGGCTCAGATTTACTTCTGCTGACCAGGATTAGAGGATAAAAAATGGTCCACATTTGAAAATCTGCAAATATTTTATCTAGGGCTTCCCTCCCCCACCAATGAGAAATACATAACGAAACGTTTAGTTTTAGAGAGTTTGAGAGACTTGGTGAAGTTATTCAAGACTGCTCTGAAACCGAAGAGCTTTTAAAATAAATCTGAACAAGAGGGTGTATGGGTGAGCGAGTCGCCATATGCATATTTAAAATATGTGTCATCTAATAGTTATTAAAGATTAAAAATGACAGTCTGAGACATTGGGAAACTCCTCTATGGAGGCAAGTACCATTAGTGGGAAAGGGCTTGTAGGCTTAAGAGCTTACTCATGGTCAATGGAGAATTTAAAAGTGAGAAACAGTTAAGGCTGTGATTAATAGTAAATACGATGTTTTAAAAATCCATTTAGTAGAGCCTGAAAGCTGTCAAAAAGGTGGCTGGGGTGCGTGGGGCTAATCATTATTAGGGCATCTGAAATTACGAAAAAATTGGGAGTCGCAAATATATAGAAAGAAATACAGAAAGTCATAGGATCACATTATTTTGTGCAAAATATCCTTTATTTTGAAAAAAAAATCCCAGGTGACTCTCCCATTCTGGACAGGACATTGTACACATTCATGGAGAGATCTTGCTCAGTTGCAGGCTGACTGAGGCAGAAAAGATAATGATTTATTATGAAAACAATTTTTTTAGCTGAATGTATTTCCAATATGCCTGCACAAATGTAGTTGCAAAATTTGTATATTCATCACAGTACATGTGAAAATTCACATTTGTGCATACAAAACCAGTAATTGCCACCATGACATTTTTGCACAAAGTACAGATTCTCTTTCTCTCTTTCTCACACACACATAGCATAGGTGCTGACTCCAGGGGTGTGGGTTCTGAGCACCCACCGGCAGCCCCGTATCAGCCTTCCAGCCCGACATTTCTATGATTCCATGAGCCTCTCCGCTTTCATTTTAAAACAAAGTTTCTAGCACTAATGGTTATACAAAATGTTGGAAAATGGGCACCCTAAAAACTCAAAAACCAGCAGGGAAATAAAAGAACCCCGAATCTATTACTTTTGAAAATCTCATTTTTAAGTCAGTCTTATGGGGTCTGACTCATGATTTTTGCATGCTTGGTGGCAGCAATACGGAGCTGCCTGTTAAAACAGAAGAAAATGTTGAGAGGTCCCACTACATTAAAATGGCTATTGTTTAAGTGTGATGACCATCATCTTAGTTATCTCTGGTGACTGAAGCTGGTCATCCAGAGCTAAAGTATGAGCCTCTGCAGTTTGAAATGGCAAACGTATCTGTACTTCTGCCCTACTGAACATAACCCTAGATTATTCCAACCTCTCAATAGCCTTAAAAGTCTCTATAAATCACAATCACCTTCTGCCCGACTCAGTCTAAATTTAACAGTAGTATTGCAAACCTTGAGATTAACAATTCAATCCGTTCATGAATATGAATGATGTAGTGGGACACAGATACTAGAAAATTGCATCACTCACCTTTAGGACTACCTCCCTGATTTCTCTGCCTAAGGGCTGATGGCTCTTGCAGCCTGTGGGCTAGTCTCCTTCCTCAAAGCTATGCTAGGCCCTGGGCCTTGCTGTTCAGAACCAGCCCACAGCTTTCACTTGGCACTTGTAGAAATGGCTCCCCCTGCTGCTCAAGAAGCCTGACCTCCACTCTCTGCACAGATGACACATACAGAAATATTTGTGGGGGCTCCTTAAAAAATATTGCCTGTACTGGTTAAGCTTGACTGTCTGGTTCTGAATGAGAAACCAAAATTTGGAGTCCTATTCCCAAGGTTCATGCTTCTCTACTTCGTTCATCAAGGGAAGAGGTATTCTTAGATGTTCAAAGGGATATGAAAAGACCATGGCCGGACTTTCAGAAATAGAAAGAGCTTCCATCAGATGTTCACTCGCTTCCATCAGATGTTCACTGTGCCTAAAATGGCATGCTGGGTATGCACTAGGTCTGTGGGATGAATCATAGTATTTCCAATCCCAAGTATTCAAAAATCATGTATCAGGCCCCACAAAATCATGAGATAGACTTAAAATCATTATATAAAAAAACAGTCATGTTACAGTTCAAACCAATGTACAAAAATAAATAAAACTATACATAGAGGCACAATGCAAGGTGACAGAGAAAGAATCATTATATATATTTCTGACTGTTTTTTGTCAAAACAATTAACCTCTTTCCTGCTGAAACCAAGTGCATGTCGGTTACTTTATATTTGCCTTCTCGTCTCTGAGCCTTTGGGTATGTCCAGACTACCTGCCGTATCGGCGGGTAGCGATCGATTTATCGGGGATCGATATATCGCGTCTCGTTAAGACGCGATATATCGATCCCCTAACACGCTCCCCGTCGACTCCGGAACTCCACCGGAGCGAGCGGTGGTAGAGGAGTCGATGGGGGAGCCGCGGCCGTTGATCCCGCGCCGTGAGGACGGGAGGTAAGTCGGAATAAGATATGTCGACTTCAGCTACGGTATTCCCATAGCTGAAGTTGCGTGTCTTACACCAACACCCCCTCCTAGTGTAGACCAGGCCTTAAAGTTCACTTGTTTTGAATTTCCAAGTTGTTCTCTGCCATCATGAAGGCTAGACACTTACTTTTCTTCTCAAATAGAAGGTTGTAATCCCAACAGTCCAGGAGCTGCTGCTTCAAGAAAACCCCCAAACATCATGAGATGCATGATAAAATTGTGAGAGTTGGCAACACTGGAATCATACCTCAAATGCTGCCCTTGCATACAGTACTTGAAATATGCCTTTTGTAGTGCTGTATTTTTCAATGTGCATCTCGCTTATCACAACATTCCTTTACATTCTGATGCCAACTCTTAAAAGAACTCCACCACAGGCAGGGTTGCCCTTGGTTTCAGCAAAAACAAGATTAACCTTTGACGAAGAACAGTCATTTTACAGTTCAAACTAATGTACAAAAAATAAATAAAACCACAAACAGAGGCATAAAACAAGGTTACAGGGAAAGGACATGGGTTGTTATGAGTAAGTTATATAAGAATTAAATCACATATGACAAGTAAAAAGCACAGTGGGGTGAGAGCTGGGGTGAGTTCATTTTGAAACTTTAGTTGCATATTTGTTCTATTGCAGTGATTTTCAACCTTTTCAACCTTAGACATAATCTGTGGACTCCCAGCGGTCTGCGGACCAGAGGATGAAAACCATGGTTCTGTGAGAATCTTAAAGTGATGCAATTTCATCAGGGAAATTCCGATTAACATGCAGCTGTACCTATACATAACACAGTATCAGAGGGGTAGCCGTGTTAGTCTGAATCTGTAAAAAGCAACAGAGGGTCCTGTGGCACCTTTAAGACTAACGGAAGTATTGGGAGCATAAGCTTTCGTGGGTAAGAACCTCACTTCTTCAGATGCAAGTAAGAAGAGAAGGTTCTTACCCACGAAAGCTTATGCTCCCAATACTTCTGTTAGTCTTAAAGGTGCCACAGGACCCTCTGTTGCTTTTTACAGATTCAGACTAACACGGCTACCCCTCTGATACTGGAAGGA